CGGCGGCGCAGCTTGCCCAAACCACTTCCGGGTGCCCCGCGTTAAACTTCCGGTGCGCACCGCCCAGCGGGACCCACAGTTCCGCCGCCAGGCCCCACCCCTTAAAGGGGCCACGCAGCTCGTCCTTTCCCCTTCGTGGGCCCCACGCCCAGGTCCCTACCCACCGAAAGGCACCATCCCACCACCTTCTCAGACGAGTCCCCGTACGAGCTAGCTTCTGGAAGGTGGTGCTCAGTGTAGACTGGTGAAACCAGAGCAAGCTGACCCAACTTTGTGGTTCAGATGTCAGCTTACTGGTGGTGCCCAAGGAGTCAGAGTAGTCCTCGTGGGGTGGTGGTTATGCGTTGGGCTGCTTACCACAAAGTCGGTGGTTTGAAACCACCCGCCACTCAGCAGGAGACAGATGAGGCTTTCCACCCCTGTAAAGAGTTACAGTCTTGGAAACCCACAGGGAGAACTGTACCATAGAGAGTTGGCATGCACCCAATGGCAGTTGGGTTCCTGCAAGTAGAGCTGTGTCCCCTGCACCGGTCACTTCCCTGTGCCTTCATGGTTCCATTGGCACGATGCGATGAGAGCAGTGGCCAGCAGGGAGGAACCGGTTCACCGCCTGCTGCGGCTCTGCTTTTCCAACCAGAGAGCTCACATCCAGCCCAGCGTCAGAATCCACAGCACCTCTAGGTGGTTCTTGTGTGTTCATCGGATGGGAAACAATGCTACCCACAATGGAGTTAGGTGACACAACAGAGCCAGGGCAAAGCCAGACCCTGAGAGAGAACACAAGATGGAAGGAACCACGTCCAACACCATCACAGGGGTCCTTCATTAGGTGCCACATGGGCTCTCACTCTTAGCGACTGATACACAGCAGAGCAAAAGCCCCACCCAGTCCCATTCTGTCCTCCCCATGGTATGTTGGAGCCCGTTGTCACCCCCACGCTGTCAAGCCATCTTGTTCCTCCACTTGGGGGAAACTGTGGACCCATCCTACCACCTCATTCCTCTCAATGACTGGCGGGTGCATATAAACCGGCCACTTGGACCCCCGATGGGTCTGGGTGGGGGGCAGAGAACTGGGGTGTATTACCTTATCCCATGTGGGGTTACTGACATACAGTCAGTCATGAGTGTTCATTAAGCAATCCAATCTGTACCAACAATAGCGAGAGCAAGGCCTTACTAGTTGATGCTGCAAAATTTAGCACCCAAGTCCAGAAGACAAAATGGGCTACACCCAACAATGGTTTCAGGAGCATTGTATCCCCCAGTTCAAGAGTCCCTTCCTAAGCTCCTCATTGGCTGAGTCCTATGGGTTAACGATCTGTCCCAGAGATCACGTATTTCCTTCATTTAAAGTTTCTCCCTCTGGGGTAGAGTCCCTTTCCCCACCCTCCCAAGAGCAATCTGATCCACACACCATCCTCGCCACCCGCACCCGCCTCCTCATCCGTCCATCCGTCCGTCCCCTGGGTTCTAGTGATGGTCACCCCAGCTATCAGCGTGTGCTCTGCCGCCTTAGTAACTTCTTGCCCTTCCCCCCCCCCTTAATTGCTGCAGATGGACCCATTTGGGATTCATTTCTCACACACTGGACCAAGCTTGATGTCCTTCTCCAGGTCTCACTGGACGACGTGTCCCAAGTACATGAGATGAAATCTGGCCATCCTCACTTCTAAGGAGCGTTCTGGCTGGACTTCGTCCAAGATGGACTTGTTTGTTCTCTGGCAGCCCTTAGGACCTTCAATAGTTTTCACCAGCATCGTGATTCAAATGCTCTGCCTCGGCCAACGTCCAACTTCCATTACATGCACAGAAAGCCATGGAGGTGGGTGGGTGGGGAAGCCATGGCTTGGATCAGGCACACCTTAGTCTTCGATGTGACACCCTTGTGCTGCCAGACTTGAAAGAGGTCTTGTGCAGCAGGTGTACTCAGTGCCATGCATCCTTTGGTTTCTCGACTGCTGCTTCCCTGAGCACTGATGGCAGGTCCAAGCAAAGTGAAGTCCTTGACAGCTTGGGGTTTTTTCCCCTCCGTTCATCGTGATGTCTCTGGTCGAGTTGTGAAGATGTCCGGTTTTCTTCGTCGCATTGAGCTGTAGTGATTTGTGAGTGGACACATAGCTAAGTGAAGTGAACAGATGCGGGTGGCGGATGAGAGTAGAAGCACACAAACAGCTAGGTCTGGCAGTAGAGATTTCTACATACCGATTTGTAGCTGCACAAATACATCCATGTACTTCATAGGACAAATAGGGGACCCAGCGAGGGAAACGTAGCCATCACCAGACACCTCATGGGACTGAGCTATGGGCTGGGTGGCTAGCGACCATAGGTCTGGAGGGCATCTAGCGCAATGGACATCGTTCCTGAAGACAATGTCTTACATCCGGCTTTGGTGAGTCGTGGCTGGTCTCAAAGCTCATGATCAGCCAGCTCAGAATGACTGGCTTCTGCTTCCATTAGAATGACTGGCTTCTTGGCTGCGGCCACACAAAAAAAGAGCAAAGAAAGTCAAAAGACTTGAGGAATCAGTCTGAAGCACTCGTGAACCACAGGAGCTTCCCCGCAACCCCCACCCTCAGCCAGGGCCGGAAGAAGTGGACTAGACGCTGCCTGGCTACCCCTTCTGGTCGCTGGGATCAGGGTCGGGGCAGAAG